GGAGATTCTAGGGAGTGGCTATCCTGAATCTCTTACTCTTCTCACGCTCCCCCTGTGGACTATGTTGCCTCTTGTCTCCTCTCCCCTCCTGAAACGCACCCCCCTCCTTCCTGATATATCTTTCGTAGATATATTCCATCACAATAACTCAGTCATTCCTCTTTAGGATATTATCTTTCATCATAAGCCAAACCCAACATAGACTCCATGAAATGTTTCTCATGCCCCACACAGAGCTGCTCTTACAATACCTGCAATAACTGCCCAGTCGGGGGCAATATTCAGCACCGGGTGCTTTAAGATTCCATGCCGAGCCAGCTGGTATGGAGAGGAAGGCTGGAAGGAGGCTGTGTGGGGACCACACCCCAGGCTGTGCTTATTCACTACCACAATTAGCATCCGGTTTTCAATGGCATTATCCCGAAACACGTAGGTTCCAGGTTCTAGAAAAACATGGCTGAACCTGAAATGGGGAGAAAGGCATTTGGCTAGGCTGCAAGAGTGGGGAACCAGAAGTATTCCAGAGGGTTCAGAATTACAGTTCCCATCTTCCTGCACCATTGACTATGCCTGCTGCAACTGCTGGAGTTTAGTGACATCTGGAGGACAGTTGCAGATTCTTTATATCTGTTCTTATATAGTACATCAGTAGTGAACATGGCCAGAAAAGAACATGGTAGAGGAATAACCTTAATGAAGAAGATAGGGATAATTTGTGGTAGCAGCAGTGGGGTTACATGGGTGAGAGGAGAAAGACCAAAAAAAATAAAATAAAAAAATAATCAAAAGCCTTGCAGAAGTGAGTTGGCAGACAGAAGGAGAGGAAGCATTTCCACTTCCCTCCCTCCACCCAGGAGTAAATTAATATTTCAAACATTTTTGGGCAGCTTCCCATTCCCATTGTTATAACTTCAGAAGAGGTTGGAAATTTGAGCAGGATCTCACAGAATATCTTAAAGAGGAGGCAAGACTCTTCAACTGCCTCTGAACATACCTGGAAATGTTGAGCTGGGTCTCTTGGATGAGGTGGTCCAGCCTTCTGAAGGCACCAAAATCCCAGTGGGGGTTGCTGTTGTAGAGATGTTCCTTCTGATAGACAGGGTAGTGGCTGGAAGCCCGATCTGGCAAGAATTGGCAGAAAGTTACCACTCTGTCTTGCTGCCCAGCAACCCCATGGGGGTGCAATCTTTCCCCATGGAAAACAAAGCATCTCTCTTGCCTTCTGGGATAATATCTTCTAGAGTCTTTTGAACCTCATCTCTCCTTGAATACTGCGTGCATGGTAGGCAATTGGCAGGGTGATAGCCCTCTAATACAGTGTTTCTCAACTTTGGCAACTTGAAGATGTGTGGGATTCAAACCCCCGAATTTCTTGGGGGGAAGGTCCACAATCTTTACACCGTCCAAGGTGGGAAAACGCGG